CTCTGCGCAAACCCGGGGGAAGCTGCTCCCCTGAGCCGCCCCCGCCCCCCAGCTCCGGACTCCAAGTGCCCCCGGGAGAAGGCACATGACCAGGGACAGGGGCAGAGCCCTTCCCACCCAGCAGGTGTCCACCTGGACTCTGACCTGGTCAGCCTCCACTCCCAGGAGACCCCAGAGGGAGGGCATCCCCGACTACAACCGTCCAGCCCAGACCACAGGCCTGCGAGGCAGGCAGCCCAGTGACCACAGATTAAAACTGACTTAAGCAACGTTGCCTGGATCGCAACTTCGGACCCGAAAGGCACAGACGGGAGAGGACGGGGGCTGAGGCGGAGGCGCCTGCCAGCAGCGGGTCAGCCCTTGTCTCAGACAAGTGTGTGTCATGGTCCCGGCCGGTGCGGCTCACTGGCTTTCGCACCAGGTTTGATTCCGGGTCAAGGGCACATACCTGGGCTGCAGGTTCGAGCCTTGCTGCCCCTGTGGGTGAGTGTGGGAGGCAGCCAATCGAGAGATGTGTCTCTCTCACATCCGTGTTTCTCTCTCCTCCCCTCCCGTCCACTCTCTTAAAAAAAAAATCAATGGCAAAATATCCTCACTCCTTGGGTGAGGATTTAAAACAGCAACAACACAAATGCCTGCGCTAGAGGAGCAGCAGGGGAGCGGCCGCGTGCCTGTCACTGGGTGGGATTTGGGTTTCCCGAGTGGGACAGGTAACAGCGGGACGCGGGAGGCGTGTGGAACAGGATGCGCCCGGCGGCAGGTGCTCAGACAGGAGGGGACATGGCATGGGTGGAGTTCGGGGTCTGCGTGGCCAGGCGGCCGCGAAGGCGAGCGGCCGGTCCTCAGCACGTGCCTGTTGCGGTCCCAGGGTGGCGCTATGTGTATCAGAAAATGCAGCTCTGCGCACCTGAGTGTGTGCGGGTGCGAAGAGAGACAGGGAGACAGGGACGCAGACACGGGGTGGGGCGCACGACCCAGCGACCCCGGTGAGCGGCAACCTGTGTGAATCTTCCAGCTTTTCTGTGGGTTTGAAAAGTGAAAAGCCCAGGGCTGTGGGAGGGGTGGGAAGCCACTGTCCTCTGGAAAAACACACCGAAAAGATTCCCAAGGACCTGAATTGCTTCCCAATAACCAGGACGGGGGTGCGGGCGTCTGTGCCAAAGCACATGATGGAGGTGACAGGTGGCGCGGGCAGGAGTGTGGGGCTTTAGTTCATCGAGCCACACCCTTTCCGCTAGGTGTGAGGTCTGTCAGAATAAATAGGAGCAAAGGAGCAAAGAAGAAAGGGAGGAAGGAGGGAGGGAGGGAGGGAGGGAGGCAGGAAAATCTTGTGCACCTGGACCTGAGCTGGCAGCTGAGGCGACCTGGACCCAACCCACACTTTTTGCTTACGTCAGTTTCAGTCGTGGTCTGGTCTGTCTCCAGAAGTCCTGCTCGTGTGCACGCCCCTCCCCTCCCCTC